GTTCGACTTAAGGAAAAAGGGGCCTCGTTCCTTACTTAGGGCTCCTTAGATCAACGCCCCGACTGTATCCGTTTTGTCATAACTGGCCGTCCACCTTCCGAACTAGAAGGGCTGCGGCAAGGTCAGTGCGTAATGTTCAAGGACGCCTGACAGCCCCCGATTGAAGGGAGCCCGTTTTCATCCGTGCAGTTGGTCCACGGGCTCAGCCTTCCAGTCATACACGCCGGTCGTTGGAAGTAGGTATTCTTGGAGCCCCAGATCCCAATCTGCTTCAAGCGCCTGCCTACTTCAAGGGTCGATCTGCTTTTGCTGTGTTGCTTCTTCTCTTGGAGAGCCGGAACCCAATCTACGTTATCCGTTTTTCTGTTTAATTTGTTGTTGCCGATGTTGTCCGACCGATTTGAGTATCTCACGAGTAGCCCATGCTGACAAGAAGCCGTTCTGCACCCGAGTAGCTGTTGGGCCTATTCAAGACGGCTGCGCGCGGCGCTAAGGCAATGACCCCATTTCGAAAACCACCCGCTTCACCTTGGCGCATCGGTTTACGACGGTTCTACGAAATGCCCATTTTGGCATCGATCCGCCGTGTACCCGTGTACGTAGGAGATACTGCTTACGACCAGTTTTCACGGTGCCAAGCCGAGAGCTCCGTGTTGAAGACGGCTTGCCTTCCGCCTGCATAGGGGGACGGGGTAGGAAGCGGCAGGGGAAGGGAGACCAGTGCGAGGGGCACAAAGGGTTCTTCGAACACCTTCTCGGAGCCGCCAAAAGCTTACTAAAATTGGTGATCATTGGAACCCCACGAACCAATTCAACAATCTTCCGCACTCTCCCTCTCATGTTTTGTTCGCTCCCAGCTACCTCAATCCAAATACTGATAAGAAGTCTGTTGGTGTTGCTGCGTATGGTAGACTCAAAATTGGGCTTCGCTGGCCTCCAGAAGGCGATGTACCCATAGCCCTGCATAGGCTCATGGAGATCCTGGTGCATTTCCCCAGGTGGCCCGCGATACCTCTGTTCTCGGTTTATTTCAAGTCGGCCTGGGGTATCAGCGAGTCCAACCCCGATTGCAAGGATCTTACAGCAGGTGCCGCCGACCCTGGAGGGGGACGTCGACGACGATGGCGGCGGTGGCGGCGACGACGACGACGACGACAACGACGCTGACGTGGACCGGAGTCCTCAGGGATGTTTCTCGGGGTCTCTTGGGAAGGCTCTCGGGGGCCTCTGGGAAGGATTTTCGGGGTCTCTTGGGAGCCTCTTGTGGGTCCTTGGGGGCCTTTTCGGGTGTCCTGGGGGCCTCTTGTGGGCTTCTTGGGGCCTCTTGGGAACCTCTTGGGAACCTCTTGGGGCCTCCTGGGAGCTTCTCGGGGCCGAGGGCTCGAAATGTCCGTTCGGGAGTCCCGTGAAGGCACGCTCTTGGAGCCGTCTTTGGGGCCTCTTGGGCCGTCTTGGAGGCGTTTAGGGCTGTCTTGGGGTTCTCTTGGGATGTTTTGGAGCGATCTTGAGGGCTTCGTCGGCCGTCTGGGAGCGGCGGGAAGCGGAAAAGGCGAGAACGCCCAAATTTGTCAAAACCCTAAGGAAAGTCACTGATGTTTGTCTCTTGTGGCCCTCTCGGGAGTGCCTTTGGAAGCCTCTTGGGGCGTCTTTGAGGTGTCCTGGGCAGTCTGGGAGCGTGAAGGCGTTTTGGACCGATCGTTTGGCGATTGGGGACCTTCTTTGACCGTCTCGGGGGCCTCTTGAGGCACTCCTGGCTTGTTTTGGGTACGTTTCGCAGCCCCGGGACCCCCAGGGGGTGATGGGTATCTGACCCCAGCCACCCCCCGGGACCCCCCCTTCCCCCTTGGACCCCCCCTTCCCCCCGATTGGCCTGGGGTCTCAGCGAGCCCAATCCTGATTTGATCTCCGAGCTCGGTCGTGCTGCAAGTTGCCCCACGCACTCGGCCATCGCAGGCGGTTGGAGCATGACGCCCGAAGTCCTGCGGAGCCCCGGTTTCGCTGGGAAGCTGGGCATGATCACCATGGCCCCCGTAGCGTGCCCACGCGTCGCAGTGCAACTTCGAGTTCGATCAGCGATTACTTCGTTTTGGGGGCCTGGTGCTGTCAGGAGGGAAAAAACCACAGACAGAATGAATCGTCGATTCCGCAGAAAATATTGGAAAATACGGGAAGTGGGGGGAAGACGAAAACCCTCAAAAATAGGAAAATATGGGGATCCTGTTATCTGTGTATACTTATTTGAGTGTCCCTGGGCCCCTGCAAATTTCGAGTTCGATCAGCGGTTACTTCGTTTTGGCGGCCTGGTGTCGCCGGGGTGAGATGTCAGGAGCGCAGGGGCGGACCTCCGATGGCGAAGCGGCGCGGGGCACTGGTCAGCACGGCCAGAGCGAGGTATAAAGGATCGAGGTCGGCTCGGGGAGGGTACCCTCCTCCTCCTCCTCCTCCTCCTCCTCCTCCTCCTCCTCCTCCTCCTCCTCCTCCTCCTCCTCCTCCGGGCTGCTGCTGTGGGACACGGCAACACACCCGCCTCATCCTCGTCAGTGCTGTACAGTACGCGCTGTGCGTCGGTGTTGAGCTACGTGATGCAGTTTTTGCCGCTGCCGCCTGAGATGAAGGCCGAAGAGAAGGGTGCTCTATCACAAGCTTTTCGGTTACCCCTGGGAGCGTTCGGCATTCAGGAATGGGCGCAACTTCAGAACTGGAATGGCCCCAAAATCTGCCCGCTCGAAATCATGAGTATTGCGTCGTTAGCCCGTTCAGCGATTGTTACCCTTCCTGATTGCGAGCGTATTTATCGGTGGATGCTCAAGATGACGGATACCCCCTTGTCTCGGGAGATGGACGAGTGTCGGTTGACGGTGCTGCCCGCTGGACGCAGATACCCGCCCCACTGGAAAAGCAGAGCCTTTGTAGAGTACTTGCATGATGCCGCTGCTGGCCACGCCAGCCCTGTGCACGCCGCCGCTGCCCGAGCATGCCGCGAAAGCAGGGGGAAACCTCAGCGTCATGCCAAAATCGCTTGTCTGCAGTGCTGGCCTGAAGATTCTTTGGCACGCATGTACACTCAACGCCTGCTGAAATGGTGGCCTGAGAGAGCCGCCACGATTCTTGCCACAGACTGGAACGCTACGCGAGAGCTGTTGAAAACTGTCCCCCCGTCCTGGTCCTGGACCTGGCATCGGACGATGAGTGGCGGGTGGTTGACCTCTCATCGCATTCTGAGTGAGCGGGGTCGCATAGGCTGCATTTTCGGGTGTGAAAATGAGGAAGACAGGCAATGTCATTATGCGTCCTGCCCTAGACTTGCCATGTCCATCTCCACTGTGCTTAGGTACCGTTGGTTGTCGTCCGATCCTCTTGCTCGATGGGGAATCCCAGGGTGCACCATCCAGATCCTCGAGGAAGTGTTCTTAGCTCACCATATCTATCACTCTCTCCGTCGCCTCCCTTCCTCCACTCTCTCGAATCCAATTATAAATCTCGACGCGGCTGCTGCCGCCCTGCGGGAGCTGCACTTGGCGATGCCGACCAAGGCGCGCCGCACCGTGCAGCCAGGGCTGGTAGGGTAGGGGACGTCGTCGTCGTCGTCGTGGTACGCTGGCCTCCTCCTCCTCCTCCTCCTCTTCTGAGGAGGAGGAGGAGGAGAAGAAGATCGAGGTCGGTTCGGGGAGGGCACTCCACGATGTTCTTCGTGTCCGCTGGAGGTTTTCGCGCGTCCTGGGGGGGACGCCCTCGAAGCTTCTGCCGTTTGGCCTGCGGAGGGCCTCGTGTGCTTGAGGATGTTTTTCTCCGCGCCCGTCGGAGGTTTTCTCGCGCGTCCTGGGGGAGGGCACCCTCGAAGCCTCTGCCGTGTGGCCTGCGGGGGCCTCGTGTTCTGGAGGGTGCTCTTCTCTCCTGGGTCTGGCCGCACACTGGGGTGGGGGACCGCCCGGGGCGCTGGTCGGGCGCTACCGCAGCTGCAGCAAGGCGCGGTTTCGCCCTGCTCGCGCCCAGCCAAACGGGGCTCCCCGCTCGCTCCTCCCTCCCCCGTCATGCCTTCCCTTCCTCCCTGGCCTCGGCGGCGAGCGAGAGGGGGGAAGCGAGAAGGAGAAGGCCCTCTCAGAAGGCGGCGGTGCTTTTCAGGAGCCCTCCGGCCTTCTGGGAGCCCTTCTGCTGTGTCTCCTGGGAGAGCTCGACAACTTCTCAGAAGGCCGAAGGACTGCAGAGCCTTCCGGGAAGGCCCGCCCCCCCTCACTTCCACCCCAGGAGCGCCGCCGACTCCCCCCATCCCTCCTCCTCCTCCTCCTCCCCCTCCTCCTCCTCCTCCTCCTCCTCCTCCTCCTCCCTCCCTCCTCCTCCTCCTCCTCCTCCTCCTCCTCCTCCTCCTCTCCTCCTCCTCCTCCTCCTCCCCTCCCCCAATTACTCCCTCCTGGTCCTCCTCCCTGACCGCCTCCGCCGCCCTCTCTGCCTGCGGGTGGCCGCTCTGGCTTGCGAGCGGTGGCGCCCGAGCGGGCGCGGGGGCCCCGGCCGCGCCCCAGAGGGGCACGCCCGGGCCGCGGGGGGGGGGGGGGGGGGGCGAACGAACGGGGGGGACAGGGAAAGGGGGGAGGAGGAGGAGGAGGAGGGGAGGGAGGGGGAGGAGGAGAGAAGGAGAAGGAGGAGGAGGAGGAGGAGCACGAGGAGCACGAGGAGGAGGAGCACGAGGAGGAGGAGCACGAGGAGGAGGAGGAGGAGGAGGAGGAGGAGGAGGAGGAGGAGGAGGAGGAGAGAGGAGAGAGGAGAAGGAAGAGGAGGAGGCGGAGGAGGAGGAGGAGGAGGAGGAGGAGGAGGAAAGGGGGGGTACGAACTCTGCTGCATGCAGCTGGTTTCGGCCCCGCCGCCGGGCCCATTCCTCGATGCATGGGCGCCTGCCGGCGCTGGGAGGCGCTGGGGAACTCAGCTTACGTGGGCTGATTCTCAACCCTACCCTTTGCCATCTCCCCCATTTCGCTCCCCCCGAGGTGGGGCGGGCCGCGAGGGCGATGCCGAGCATCGGAGTCCACGTGGAGTGTCACGACCCAAAGGGCTTGAGGCAGAGGCACTACCAGGTCTCGCTGGTTTTGTTCCTTTTTGTTCGCCGATCGGTGCGGGCCCCCGCCGCCCCCCCCTCCCCCCATGGACTGGAGCTTCGCTGCGTTTGGTGGCTTGTCAGGGTCCCGCCCCCCAGTCTGCTTGCGCGGCTGGGACTGGTAGGAGCAGATCGGATACGCGCTGGCCCGGACTCAGACCCCCCCCTTCCCCCACCCTTCGGCCACATGTCGAAACCCAGAGTAGCATTAGCCTGGCGAGGGACCCATCCGCATGCAGCTGGAGGTACCGCGGTCATGCGTAACGTGTGTGCCAAAGTGGGATGGCGGCGGCACGCGGGCGCTGCCACTGGAGCTTCCGGTGGAGTTCCCCACAGGGCCTTCGGCGTGGCTCCCTCTGTCCGTGATCTGCTCGATGGGTGGTAGCGAGAAAAAGCTAAACCGTCCAAGATGGCCCAACATGCTTACCATATAGCCCGATGAACCCAGTTTTGCCCAGCGATGGCTCAATCATAACAGAATCAAAGAGAGGAGACAAATGAGAAAGAAGCGCCCTATTTGGCCACGGAGCGTGTGAGGGTGTGCCGAAATAGGTGTTGCGGACGCATGCGAACCCTGCCACTGGGGCCTTCGGTGGAGCTCCCTAGGGGGGGCACGAAACGTGTGAGGGGTGTGCCGACATGGGCGGCGCGGACACATGTAAACCTTGCCACTGGGGCCTTCGGTGGAGCTCCCTGTAGGGCCACGAAATGTATGAGGGGTGTGCTGAGATGAGTGCGGTGGGCGCATGCGAACGCAGTCGCGGACACATGCGAACGCAGCCATTGGGACCTTCGGTTGAATTCCCCATGGGGCCACGGAACGTATGAGGGGTGTGCCGACATGGGTGGCGCGGACGCATGCAAACCTTGCCACTGGGACTATCGGTGCAGTTCCTTATGGGGCCACGAAACGTGTGAGGGGGTGTGCCGACATTGGCATCGCGGACGCATGCGATTGTTGCGACTTGAATCTTCGGTGTAGCTCCCTGTGGAGCCACGAAACGCGTGAGGGGTGAGCCGGAGCACGTGGCCTGGACGCATGCGAACCCTGACACCAGGGCCTTCGCTGGAGCTCCCTACGGGGGCACGAAACGTGTCAGGGGTGTGCCGACATGGGCGGCGCAAACACATGCAAGCATTGCCACCGGGGCCTTCGGCGGAGCTCCCTGTAGGGCCACGAAATGTATGAGGGGTGTGCAGAAATTGGCGCGGTGAGCGCATGCGAACGCAGTCGCGGACGCATGCGAACGCAGCCATTGGGACCTTCAGTTGAATTCCCCATGGGGCCACGGAACGTATGAGGTATGTGCCGACATGGGTGGCGTGGACGCATGTGAACGGTGCCACTGGGGCCTTGGGTGGGGCTCCCCGTGGGGCCACGAAACGTGTGAGGGGTGTGCCGACATGGGTGGCGCGGACGCATGCCAATGGTGCCATTGGGACCTTCGGTGGAGCTCCCTATCGGGCCACGAAGCGAGTGAGGGGTGAGCCGACAAACGTGGCGCGGACGCATCCGAACATTAGATTTGATACGTTCGGATTCCCCACGATTTTTTCTGGAGTTCGATCCTGCCGGGGACCCTGGAAGTGTACGCAGTTCTGTGGTGTACACAAGCGCTCCCAAGACGCCCAAGGGTGCCCCAAGAGGTGGACAGGAGGCCACCAGGATGCCCCCAAGAGGCTCCCAAGAGACCCCCAAGAGGCCCCCCAGAGGCACCCAAGACGCCCCAAGAGGCCTCGGCGAGAATGCCAAAATCATTAATATTACTAAGGCTTTGGCCACATGTTGGCCCTCTGAGGGGGGGCACTGCTTAAGATGACTCCAAGAGCGCCTGGGAGAGCCCAAGATGACCTCCAAGGTGGCTCAAGATATCCCAAGATGCCTCAAGATGGTTCCCACGATGCTCCAAGAGGCCCCAAGACCGCTCCAAGACGGCTCCAAGTGGCCAAAGAGCTCCCCCAGGAGGCCCCGAAGAGACCAACATCCTTCCAGAACCCTAGGAAAATCAAAGTGTTTGGCTTTCTCGCGAACGGTGCCATTGGGGCTTCGGGTAGAGCTCCCTGCAGGCCCACGAAACGTATGAGGGGTGTGCGGAAATTGGTGGCGCGGGCGCATGCGAAGGGTGCCATTGGGGCGGAACGTGTGAGGGATGTGCCGAAATTGGTGGCGCGGACGCATGCGAACGGTGCCATTGGGGCTTCGGGTGGGGCTCCTTGTGGGGCCACGAAACGTGTGAGGGGTGTGCCGAAGCGGTCGTCGCGGACGCATGCGAACTTTGCCATTGGGACTTCCGGTGGAACTCCCCATGGGGGAACGAAACGTGTGACGGGTGTGCCGAAACGGGTAACGCGGACGCACGCGAACAGTGCCATTGAGGCTTTGGGCTGAGCTCCCTGCAGGGCCGCGAAACGTGTGAGGGGTGTGCAGAGATGAACAGCGCGGACGCGTGTGAGAGCGGCCAATTGGATTGTCGGAGGAGCTCCCGATGGGGCAACGAAACGTGTGAGGGGAGAGCCGAAATGGGTGGCGCGGACGCATGCGAACGGTGCCACTGGAGCTCTAGGTGGAGATCCCTACGGGGCAACGCGTGAGTGGTGCGCCGAAATGGGTGACGCGCACGCATGCGACTGGTGCCATTGGGGACTTGGGTGGAGCTCTCTATAAGGCCACGAAAGGTGTGAGGGGTGTTCCGAGATGGGTGACGCGGACGCATGCGAACGGTGCCATTGAGGCTTTGGGGGGCGCGTCAGATGGGGTCACGAAACGTGTGAGGGGTGTGAAGAAATGCGTGGCGATGATAGCGGTGATGACGGCGATACTGATGATGACGATGATGGCGATGGTGGCGGCGATACTGATGACGATATTGATGATGATGATGATGATGAGGAGGAGGAGGAGGATGATGATGACGGTGACGATGATGATGATGCTGATGATGATGATGATGATGGTGGTGATGATGATGATGTTGATGATGATGATGATGATGCTGATGATGATGATGATGATGATGATGATGATGGTGCTGATGATGATGCTGATGCTGATGGTGATGCTGATTATGATGCTGATGATGATGATGGTGGTGGTGATGATGCTGATGACAAAGGTGACGATGAGGATGAGGATGATAATGAGGATCAGGATGGGGATGGGGATGGGGATGAGGATG